TTTCTCATATGGACATATGCACCCAAGAACTCAGTAATTCTCTTAAACTCTAAACAAAGATACGCACAGCCTTCAGCTCCACGTTGCCGCCCATACGGAACTCAATGGTCTTGCCCATAATGAATACTCCTTCGTTCCCACGCACAATGGCACGGCCCTCGACCTTTATATTCAGATCACTGGAAGCGTTGCTGGTAATCTGCAAACAATAGTTGTAAATAAGTACTGAGCAGAGTTTCTCAATTAATATGAGTACTATCACAGGAGAGAAATAGAACTTCCCACCATGAGATAATAAAGCCAAGTGCTTCCATTCTCACTTCATAGGTGTGGAAATCGAGCTAAAGAGAACGTGAGAAAACGGCCTCACCGGCCAGCTCCCAACAGACCTGGAACCGATGCTCTCCGCAGTCCTGGAGTACGTTCTTTCCCGACGCTGCAAAACTTACAATTTAGACAGTAATTCTCCCCCATCAGTGAAGCGAAGAAAATAAATCATACCCTTTCAGTAGATGCTTTTTGAACATTCAGACTTTTCACTCCGCTTGGCAAATGAAACTCGTGCGTTTCATAGTCTGTGCTGAATAAGATATTTTGAGTCCGGGGGTCGAAAAACTGCATACCAATGTCGCTTGTAATCGAAGTTTTGTTCTTCTCCACGCTGAGCTTCGTGGTCCCTTGCTGAAAAACAATCTTCAGAGAAACACTTTACTGTGAATATGTTTTCAAAGGATACTGCAACTGAAACTCATCAAACGCGTTATAAAACAGAAAGCACAATGAAACACTACTTTTTTTAAAAAATAGACTAACTTCAAATACTTTTAAGTCTGTTCTCTGTCCACTCACATGGGAGAAGAATCCTTTAAAATGAAGTCTCTTGGGGCCAGCAGGTGGCATGGTGGTCAAGCCACTAGACTCCCATATGGCTGATCACGGTTTGTGTCCTGGACCTGGTGGCTTCCTTTCTCACTTCCCCCGCCCCTCATTCTCTTTCTCTCTCTGGTGAGTGCATGTGCCTTATAACAAATTAAAAAATAACAATAATCATAAATAAAAATAAAAAATTTCTTTTTAAAAATGAAGGCTCCCTGTGTTTGCTCATACTGCTCTGCACGAACACATGGGGGTGTGGCCTGTGCCTCAGACGGAACCGGTGGTGGCCAGGAACACCTCCTCAAGGTTTCAGTTAGTTGGAACCCTATGTGAGCACAGCCATTCGGCATGGGCTGACACTGACAGACTGGAATATTCTCTCCCAGATTCCAGGAAATACGGCGTGTTCTCAACTGAGAATTTACTTATTTATTTTAAAGTTTTAGCTGTTGGGTGCATGTGCTTGCCAGACACAGAGCGAGGGAGAGAGAGAGGAAGGGAGGAATCACCCCCTGGGGGGATGGCCATGCCGCAATCCTTTCTCCGGTCTCCTGGGATATGAGGCCTGCATGCACATGCGCACGGTATGATTCTGAAACCCTGTTGGGTCTGAGCCTCGGCCTGTGTAGTTGGTCACGTGGGATTCAGCACCTTGACCTCTGCGCCACCTGCTGGCCTGGAGAGAAATGCTTTAATGGCGTCCTCAAATGGAGGAGACAAGAATACCTGATATATTCTTATATTGATTATGTCTGTCATAGAAGATGCTATCAAAATCTAGATTAAGAAAGAAAGCATACAATTTAATAGATTATAAAACCAACAATATATTTATGAACTTTCCTTGAAGAAAAATACCTATTCTCAATCATCAACCCTAGGTCTCTGCAAAGGCGTTTTCTTGAATGACCCTCTCCCAACCCCACCATATTTCACTTAATGGGCTGACTTACAGGCTGGTTGTTCCCAGTTATAACCAAGTTTTCGTTTCGCCTTCCTCCGACGGTGCTCTTATACAGTGGGTGGATAACGCCCATGTCCGACACTTGCTTAAATCGGAGCAGACCACTGTCATGGAACTCCATGCTGTCGCAGCCATTGGGGCCAATGCGGATCACAGCCCAGATAACAAGCGTTATCTGAAAGGGAACACCAGCCCACGGTTAGCAGCGTGCATCACCGCCATCGGGGACAGGCCACGTCACAGCCAGAACACAGAAGGCTTCCCAGAATGCTTGACCCATGCGGTGGTTTTCCAACTGTTACAAACAAAACACGTGACAAGATCTACAATAGGCACAGTGGTTAAGGTGCTGGACTCCCGCATGGCTGACCACGGTCAGAGTCCCAGACCTAGTGGCTTGAAAATCATGCCAAGTGTGCATGAGTGCCCAAAATCCCAAGAGAAGAATGGAGGAGAAGGGATGGTGGGAGATGAGCCATCCCCCGGGGGGGATTTCTCACTTTCCCTCTCTACGTCTCTCTCTGTCTCCCTCCAGCAAACACAAGGCCTTATCTTCCCGATGGCAAAGACCTTAAACAAAAACTATAATAAAAACAGAGCAGTCTCCTCTTCCTCCTGCCTTCTTTGTATCTTATTCCCCAGGGACAACCACTTTCAACAATTTTAGCGACTTTGCCTAGAATCTGTCTCCTTATTTTTAAAATACATGTGTGTGTATGCACACTTAATATATACACACACATACCTACACATATATGGTGTTAAATGCTGTGTATATAATATCTACATATATATTAATAAAGTGTATATAAACTTTATATTAATATTATATATTTGCACTTTAGAAGTGTATATGTATACACATACATATGTACATATTACATATAAAAGCACAACACACACACAGACACACACACACACAGACACACACACACACACACACACATGGTGACTTGTCAACTTAAGGTTTTACGTACTGATTTCCTATCGTAGCAGATGAGTTAACGCTCTCACTACACCTCTCCCCACAAGTCCAGCCTCATGTCCGGCCAATCCGTGTCCAGTATGACTGACCCATGCAGCCGTCCTGGCTGGCTGAAGGGGGAGGGCCCAGGACCTGGCGGCTCCATGACAGAGTCCCAGCCAAGCTCTCTGTGTCCAGCCCCGGCTCATTCCTGCAAATCCTGCTTTTCGAGGTATGTGTACTTCCTGTTCCTGAGGCTTTTCAGGAACCTACAAGGCCCTTCTGCCAACACACCCTGCACCCCTCTCCAGCATGCACACACACACACACACACACATACACACACACACACGCAGCTCCTCTCAGATGAGTGATCCCTCCTCCTACTTCTGCTTTCATATTTTTGCTTTAGGATTTCAGGTGTCTCCCGCTTTCTTCAAAGACATTTCTGTTTCTTTTCTCCCTTTCTTTCTCCCTCCCTCCCTCCTTATCTCTCTCTTTTTCTTTCTTTCTCTTACTTGCCTTAGGGAATGTGTGTTCACTGGAGAGACAGACAGAGGCAGTGAGAAGGAAAGTGAGAATCACCCGCAGGAGATGGCCATGCCACAATCCCTTCTCCTTCATTCTCCTCCTGTTATCTTGGGCATGCACATAAGCCGCCGGGTCTGGGACTCAAACTGCAGTTGCCCGTGTGGGAGTCCAGTGACACAGCCACTGTGCCATCTGCTGTCCTGGGATGAGCTTTTTAGAGAAGAGGATAACAATACTTTTGTTCTGCCTTTTTAACCAGGAGTCTCCAGTAAAACATCATGTCGTCATGAAAGTCATTCTGCAGTTTTGCATAGAAAACATGATTTTCCTGACAACCTAATAAATCCACAAAACGAGGCCAGCACGTAGCATGGAGGTTACTGCCCTGGATTCCACCTGGCTAGCGGGGCAGTTTGAGACCCAGACCCAGCTGTGCGAAAATAACCCTGGGACCATGTGTGTGCATGCCCAAAGTCCCGAGAGGAGATTGGAGGAGAAAGGACTGTGGTGTGGCCACCTCTCCTGGGGGGGGGGGGGGGATTTCTCACTTTCCCTCTCTCTCCCTCTCCATCTCTCTTCGGTGAGTGCATGCTTCCTATAGGAAAACAAACAAATAAACAAAAAGCCAAAACCCAACAATCCACAAATTAAAATGAAGTCAGATTACGTACTCTTAGTCGAGCCATTTCTAGCACCCACCATGAAACGTGTAGTGCCAGCTTTCTCACATGCACACAGACACGCACATGTGTGATGTAAGTGACGAAGGAGACACAAACGCTTTGGGTGTACGTAAAACACAAAAGGACGCCTTAAGAGCATTAGAAGCCAGAAATAGCAAAAGTCCAATCACTTTAAAATGGGCGCAGGCCATGTTGATGATGGTCAGGGGTGTACCGACAGTCACGCTCCGAAAACATCTATCCTCACGCATGTCAACTGTAACGCTTACAGTCAACCATCTCAGATTTAAAAAGCTTCCTCTTTAAAAAAGAAAGGATCTTTGGAAAAGGCAACATGTCGGGTCCTGAGCACCACCGTGGCCAGCAGCCGACCAGTTCCTGCATCAGAGGTTGACAACTTTAAAATGTAGCTGAGCAGGCAACACGAAATCCAGGAAAAGTTGGATGAAAACAGAAAGGAGGGTATTTTTTAGGAGAGGTAAGGGCAATAAACCCACAGCAAAGTTCTCTTCTACAGAGCTGACTACCCTCACTAAAGCCGAGTCCTCTCGCCCAGGCCACATGTAGCAGTCAAGTGCCGTGCATTAGGAACCAGATCCCACGTGGCTGACCATGGTTTGGTGGTTTGAAAAATACACCAGGCATGTGTGTAGGTGAGCTCAAAATTCTGACAGGATAGAGGAATGGAGGAAAGAGGACTGTAGGCCTTGGGGTGTTTTCTCTCTTTCTGGCAAGCACACATGCTCTCTGGCAGTTAAAAAAATGTTTTTAAGGGGCCAGCAGGTGGTATGATGCTTAAGGTGCTGAATTCCCACATGGCAGATCGTAATTTGAGTCCCAGACCTGGTGGCTTGAAAATCGTACCAGGCGCTTGTGTGTGTGCATGCCCAAATTCCCACGAGGAGAATGAAGAAGGGATTGCAATGTGGCCATCCCCTGGGGGAGGATGGTGCTTTCTCAATCCCCCTCTATGTCTCTTGCTGTCTCTCTCAGGCGAGTGCACATCCTCTATGGCAAAAACCTTAAATAAATAAATAAATAATAATTTTTAAGAAGTCTTTTAGGACCAGCAGGTAGTATGGAGCTTAAAGTGCTGGATCCCACATGGGTGCCTTCACAGTTCAAGTCCCCAGACCTGGTGTCTTGAAGATTACACGAGGTGGGTGTGCATGCCTGTCCAAAATCCCAGAGGAAAATGGCACAGATGAAACTGCAGTGTGGCCATCCCCCAGAGGGAGATTTCTTGCTCTCTCTCTCTCTCTCTGGCAAGTGCATGCACCTTATAGCAATCAATCAATCAATCAATCAATCAAATCCTTTAAAGAAAAGAACCCATGGTCATTTTTTCCTAAATGAGATTAATGTATGTAAATATTAGCATGCTGGTTCTTTATATATAAAGCATTCATGAGAGAGAAGATAACACGTGTATAGAAAAGAAGAAAGGGCCAGTTAGTGGTGTGGTGCTTGGGACGGGTAGATCGCACATGACTGACTGCATGGTTCAAGTCCCAGACCTGGTGGCTTGAGAAACGCATCAGGTGCGTGTACGTGCCCCAAATCCTGAAGGCTAAATGGGGGAGAAGGGATTGTGGTGTATCCGTCCCCCATGCGGGGCGGCTTTCTCTCTTTCTCTCTCTGGGGAATGTATGAGCCCTCTAGCAAATTAAAAAATAAAGAAACAGAAAGAAGCAAAAGAGACAGTACCCAAAGAAATCCCAGAAACAAAGACCGTGATGTCACTGTAAAACGTGAGGAATTCACCGGGTAATTACAGAGAAAGGACAAGACGCCATATACTCACGATGAAGTTGATGACTGCCAGGATAAACAGCAGGATGATCACGCAGATGGCCAAGTTGCCCTTCCTCCCTCTCAATCCTGTTTTATGGAGACGATCTTCATCAATCGGAATATACCCGGCTTTAAAATTACTGTTGTGCTCTTTACTAACGTTCCTCCTCTCCACAGCCTTCTCACGCATGGACTTCTTTACCGGACCATTGGAACTTTGCTGAAAATGAAGCACAATGGGACCAGCAGTTAGCGTAATGGCTATGTCACCGGACTCCCATGTAGTCGACCGCGTTTCACGTCCCAGACCTGGCAGCTTAAACTCACGTCGGGCGCGTGTGCCTGTGTGCCCAGGATCCCAAGAGGAGAATGGAGGAGAAGGGATTGTGGCGTGGTCATCCACCCGGGGGCGGGGGGAATTCTTGCTTTCTGTCTCTCTGTCTCTCTCTGTCTTTCTGGCAAGCGTATGCACCCTATAGCAAAAAAAAAAAAAAAAAGAAGCACAATAGATTGTCTAGAGGCCTTCAGAAGAAAACTCCTCCATGGCTCCTGAGAACTAGTGATTTCAGGAAAAAAAGAGAAATGAAGATTTTCTACTGATAATTCAACCTCCAGCTCCCAAACTCGAGTGGAGAGGCAAGGGGCAGGCCTTCAGAAGAAGAATCCTCCATAGCTCCTGAGAATTAGTGATTTCAGGGAAAAAAGAGAAATGAAGATTTTTCTACTGATAGTTCAGCTTCCAGCCCCTAAAGTCAAGTGGTAGGGAGCCCCTCTAGCCTTCTATCTGTCTCTGTCTCTCTCTCTGCCTCTGTCCGTCTTCTCATTTTTTAATAATTTTTCCTTTTTAAAAAATTTTAAGGTATTCTCTTGGCTTTTACCCCTACTTTTATCTTGCTAATAATCCCCTTTCCCCCTCCCATCCAGGAGAGGCAAGGGGCAGACCTTCAGAAGAAGATTCCTCCAGGGCTCCTGAGAAATAGTGATCTGTGCTGCATGGTTTTTTATTTTTTGCTTTTTTAAAAAAATAATAAATTTTTAAAAATAAATTTTACCTTCTTTTTCTGTTTCTTCTTTTTTTCTCCTCTCTCTCTCTGTTTCCTTTTATTTTTCTTTGATCTCATCACTCTCCTCCTCAATCTCCATTCACTGTTTCTAGATGGATCTAAGGGAACCATAGCCAAGCATCCAAATACTATTAGGGTTAACATCTTCCTCAATATCCACTGAATCTGCTGCACAAAGGGATAAAATCGGAACAGCAAAGAGATTCCAGATCACCTCCTTCTGCATGATCCTGTATGGTCACAATGAACCTCAAGAATTAGGAAGAAATACACTATCCATCAGATGACTAGAAATCACCACAGACCCATAAAAAATATGGGAAAGCAAGAAAATACCTCTCCTCCAAAGGAAAAGAATAACTCCTCTTCATCCACAGACAGTTCAATGGAAATTATGGAAATGTCTGATAAAAATTTAGAACATTCACAATGAGACAAAGCTAACAGAAATGGAAGAGAACAGAGACAATAAACTGTGGAAGAGGCAGGAGAAAGGAGCTGATGAGTTCTAGGAGGTGAAGAAATTCTTGCAAGATCTAAATTACACACTTCAGAAAAGAATCAAATGGACCTGTTAGATATGAAGGCTATAATACAGGAAGTCAAAATCTCCCTTGAAATTATTAAAAGCAGAATAGAGCATACAGAAAATAGAACCTCAGACATAGAAGAGAAAATTGCTGGCCTAGAAAAATCCACCACAAAGACTGAGAAAATTGCTCCCCAAAATGAGAATAATGTATGAGAGATACTAGATACCATCTGGATAATTAGTATCCCAAAAGGTGAAGGGACTCATAATCTATTCCATGAAATCCTGCAAGAAAACTTTCCAAACCTAGAGTGGCACTCAAAGATCCAGTCCCAAGAAATACAAAGAACCCCAAATAGAATCAACCCCAGAAGATTTTATCCAAGACACATTATAGCCAGACTGACCAAAATCACAGACTGAGACAAGATACTAAGATTGGCAAGAGAGAAACGACAAGTTACCTACAAAGGATATCCCATCAGGCTAACAGTGGACCTCTCATCAGAAACAATGTTGAGTGAGGAAAGAATGGGAAAATATATTCAAAGTGTTAAGGGAAAAGCAATTTCAACCAAGAATATAGTACCCAGCAAGATTATCATTCATTTGGGAAGAAAAGACAAGAACATTCTCAGATAAACAAAACCTGAAGGAATTTACCAACATCAGACCAGATCTCCAAGAAGTTCTCAAGGGAGTGCTATACCAGGAAAAATTAAATACAGACACACAGAAATGAGAGTTCAAAAACTAACAAAATGGCCAACTTAATCATAGCGACAAGTCTGGAGTTGAATCTTATAGCCCAGAATTCAATCGGGAAGATCAAACCACAACAGAAGAGTACATGGGAGTGAATTGGTGAAATAGCATTTTATGACTTTTGACTAAAACATTGCTGATTTTCTTCTAGGCTTTGTTTTCCAGTTTTAAGGATTTTTGTCTTGTCTTGAGCTGTTGATAGATTCATGTACCTACTATTTGAACAGAATCCTAACCTGTTTCCTGACTAAGTTTTAAGCAAAGTTCCTTAACATTTCTTGATTTATTAAAATTAAAACTGCTTTTCTTGAAATTACCAGCTAAACTTGCTATTGAAAGTAGTTAGATTATTTAAGAAAATGTGGGGGGAAAAGGAATGGAAAACAACTGTAGACTCCAGAGATAATGTGGGAA